TCGGCCTGCCCCTTCTGTCATTGGCTCCGCGCGTGCTACCCCAGCCCCCCGAGCGCTCTAGCTTGCAACCGCAGCGTACTGAACCTCGCCTGGGGTTCTCAGTTGCTCCGTTCTTCAGTTGCTGCAGGGGAACCTTTTCTTTAAGCAACGCTGAATGACCAGGAGGACTGTCCGTACAGAATCAGAAGTGCTACTTCTTAGGCCACAGAGCATTGCATGCAGCTTGAGGGTTTTTCTTTGTCATTTCAGGAGCTTTGGTATACAGAATACAAGTTTAATAATATTTCAATCCTGTGTTACCTTCTCTAAAGAATGGCTCTTAAATTTTTTTGCTTAGGAACCATTGCAGAATTCTTTGTACTTCAGTCTGCTTACACAGAAGTTCGAAAACTCAGAATTGGGAATCCTCAATGCCCAAACAAGATAAAACAATTTTCAAAATATACAAATATAGCTTTCAAATATCATAGCAAGCTGACATCTTGTTAGATAACTACATCTGCTATTAAATGATAGAATTCCACCTATTCTGTTTCTAAACAGAATTTAATTTCTCTCTCATAATTACTAAGAGTGATCCAGAAACTGTGATTTAAATCTAGCATCTGTATATGGAATGTCACATCGGTTTTTATGTGGGAGTAGTGATACTCTGTTGTAAATTTAACGCTAGTGTCTTGCACCTACGCCTACAATAACATTTAAAACAAACCAGCATAATTTCAGTTAAACATTGCTATGGACCATGCAGATCTGGCACTGAATCCCTAGAGCTTCTTAGAAAAGCACCATCCCCCTCAAAAAAAGGAAGGTTATGTGGTAAGTTAAACTTCCTCCCTTCATCTTTATCAGCTTTGAAACAATACAACAAGCAAGCCTATTTGTGATGCTCCATGGTTAGTATAACAACTTCAACTGGCTGCATGAAATACAACCTTTAACACCATAACGTTAAAGTCTTTAAAGCAAATCCAGATTAAAAGGTGCTCAGCTGTCCACATCAGGTCCCTGCCATTACCACACTGACAAGCTGAATGCAAGAGGACGGAAGGAGGCAGCAGAGCTATCCAGTATCTCATCCCTATGCCTACATATACATCTTCCTTAAAAGACACCTTTAGTTCTAGCAGTAAGATCAGTTCCATGTTCTTACAGCTGGCTTTGGAAGTTGGGCTTTTCATCCCCAGGGCAGGTGTTTCAGACTCCTTTGAGTATGAGTAGCCAAAAGGGAAGTTTTGATCACAAGTTTCATATTTGCTGGTAAGACACACTGGTCAGAAATACCTACTCCATTGTAGGAGCTTACACGAAAGCTTTCACAGTCCAATAAAAGTATTTCCATTTATTTTTTATGCTTTAGACTTAACTTACTGACATTAGAGAACTTCAGCTAAACCATTTAAAAGTTTTGTGTACAGTTAAACCGTGTATTTCACAACCACGAGCTGCACTTCAGACTAGTATAAACTCATGAGATCAATAGTTCAAAGCCTACCAGAGCAATCTCGTTAAATTAGAAACATGAACCTCTCAGCTACAGAATGACTTAATGTTCCAGACTAAGCAAAGCAGTTAATTATGACAGATTGAAAAAAATCTTACTGAAAGAGATTGCAGATCAAATCCTTAACATGTGATCATCAACACAAGAACAACAAAAAGATTCCAAGTTGAAGTGCAGTTAAATACAAAACAAATACAAGATCACCTAAGAAAATGAGAAAAATGGAAAAACATAGTGAAAGATTGCATCACACAAAGTAGTGATTGTGAAAAGGAAGGAGAGGTGCTGTGGAGAAACAACTGAACATGAGACTATGCAATATTGTGACAAATAGAGACTGTTTAATTTTCAGACATATAAACCAGATTTATGAAATAAATTACCTTCCTACATGTATCTTTACTTGCTTCATGGCAGAATATTATTAATTTCTGCATACAATACCAGCACCCATAGCTTCAGCAGAAATGTCAAATAATCAGAAGGAAATAGTTCTATAGTGGCTATAAAATAGTGGAGTACTGACAATTTGATCAGTCAAGACGAAAAAAGCCTAAAGACAGATATATCTGCATTAAAAGAAATCAGCACAAAATCCTAATGGGGTATATAACTAGCTGTCAGAAGGAGGTAAAACACACACAATCATGGTGGAATTCACCTTCCTGACTTCATATAATGAAGACTAGATGGCCTTTTGGAAGATTCATGTTAGTCAAAGAAGGGAAGCAGGACAACATTTAAAGGTTGTTTTAAAGAGGAAAAAAGTTGAACGGGTTATTGGCTCCTGATCTACAAAAATCACATTGTTTAAAACCAGTACTTTACTAGAAATGAAGTTTGAAGTTAACACATAAGTAAGATTGACCTGAACTCAGCTATTTTCTTGTTATCTTGCTAGAAGATAAGTGATTCATATGCCATACTTACTTTGCTTATCTCAGTATTTCTAATGTATGGATCATAGCATTATCTAAACATTATGTGATTAAAATGATTGTTTTATCTTTCAATAAATTCTGGGCCTGCTTCTCTACAGGAAAGATATTTAAGGGGAAGAATTTACACAAGCTCTATTGAAATTATTTGTACAGTCATTTCCACAATACAAGTTGATACTACAGAGACAATATGAGAATATCTTACTGCACATCTTCCTTATGCTAAAAACAAAAATGTAACCAACATTTAAGAAGAAATAAAAAATAAAACAGGTTTAAGATGGACACACAGGAAGATATGAAAGAGACTTAAGTAACTGAGAAGTCATAGGGGAAAAAAATGTTTGGACACAATACAATAAAATCTTCACCTTGAACACAAGACCAAAGACAGACAGAAATATCACCATTAAAAGTAAAAGAAACCAGAAAGTAGCTTATAGCAGAGGAACAGCAAACAACCTTCACAGATGGACAAAGCAAAATTAAATAGAACAATGGCTGAATAAAGGCAGAGTACAGTAAGGCATCACAGTATCCCAAAACCTCAAAAATAAAGAAAACAGAAGTCATTCATGATTCTCAGAGCAAGGAGCTCATGGTAGAATGGAAGCTTCAGAAGGAACTGGAAGTATAAGCAGCAGCACAGGGGCTAAAGGACACTTTTTCAGATACTACAATCACATAGTAGCACTAAATAGCATTTCTGTGTTCAGGGTTTAGTAGCAAGTCTAAGTAGCAAGAGTTTAGAACAAATCTCCCAAGAGCAGTTGACCAGGAAAGAAAATTTAGTCAAGGATGGTTGCCAAAATCCAAGAGTAGTTTTCTGAATAGAGGATATTTTCAATCTGATACATTAGCTGGTAAAAAATTCACAAGAAAATGTCAGTTTAAGAGAATGTTGTATGTTATATGGCACTTGTACAGAAGCAACAATTGTCAGCTCAGAAGTGTGCTCAGGAGGTAGATATAAGTTCTTGTTTAAAAAAACGGTACATTCATTGAGAAAGCAGTATCACCCTTTGCAAAACCATGCCTTGTGTTCAAAGCAGGTTGAAAAGAAAAAGAAGCGGAGGAAGGAAAAAAATAAAACAAAGTATAAGTAGTAATCATTATGAAGTTATAGATCTAATGCCATCACTTATTACCTGGATTTCTAATTCAGCAACATGCTGCTGGAGCTCAGCCATAGCTGCAATGCGGTCTGCCTCACGGAGCCTTGCTGCCATCACTTCTTCTTTGCTCTGAAAGAAGCAATAGGGGAAAGCTAACAAATATTGTCCTTTGAGCTCTGTACAGACTGGACTGCTTTCAACCAAAACTGTGCAAGCAAGGGATAGACCTTAACACACACCACTGAAGTGGCATGCTTGTTGATAAGGCATGCTCAAAGGGAAAAAACAAAACAACAACAAAAAACAAATTTAGTATTAACGCGTAGGGTTATATGATCTTCTATAGTAACAATTTTAAGCTATATTCACCTAATCAAATTGCATCAAAATTAAAAGCACATGATGCAACCAATTTTCAGGTTCATGCAACAGATGTCTTGTGTTCCAGAAACATTATGGTGCAAACACTTAAGAGACGATGTTGACACCTGCATCAACATAATAAAGACCTGCTCATTGTTCAGCCCTTGAGTTTGTTTATAAAGCATTATAAAGCATTAGAGGATACACAAGAAGTGACTTATTTCTTTAATATTCTCTGCCAACTACCCTCTTGCCTCCAAAACAACTTCAATCATGTCCAACTATCCTATCTTAAAACAAAGAAATGCAAAAGACTTTGGGATAACATCCAAATGCCCACAACCCACAGTCAGATTCCCAGAGCAGGTTCAGTGCTGTGCGTTTGAGTTGAACCAGACACAGAAAGTTTATTTCTGCTCTGCGAGGCAGCTCCTTGAGACTCCCAAACAAGTACCCTGGGTTGTCACCAGCTTGGCACTGCCGCAGTGGGAGGAGCGGCTCCGAGGCAGCACCGCTTTGCTTCCCGCTGTGGCGCGCGTGCCGCTGGGAGAGGCAGCTCCCGAGCACGCAGACAGGGCAGCTCTACAAACATCTGCTAGCGAGGGTCACCCTGCACAGCGCTGGTGCTTTAACACTGACACGGAGCGGGGGAAAGGCAAGGCAGGGGAGGAATGAGTCTTTTGTTCTACCTCTTTCATTCTTCTCCAGGTAACTACAATTTGAAAAATCAGTGCTTTGCTTCAAGAAACAGTCTGAAATGAAGTGCTTGCTGTAGAATTAACATTCAGGTAAAAAGAAATATAATGTAGTACGTATCAGTGACAAATCAGCTGATGTATAGGCAGATGTGAGTTATTACAAGAGATAATAAAAGGCACCTAGAAGGACCAGAAATACAACAGAACAGCTTTCAGAGATGGCAAAAACCACCACATACTTCTGTAAGGGAGGTGGCATGATGAAAATGATTAAGTTAGATTGTGGAGAGGGATAGGGAGAAGAAAAAAAAATAGGATTAAATAAATAAATAAAAGCATAATGCCAGCTCACAACAAGATTAAAGAGAAAAGGAAAAAGGAATGCTAGGGAAGGTTGTGTTGGTAGCTATCAATTAAGTTAATCTTTCAATAACTTAACAAATAAAACTTGCACGTTTAAGCAGTACAGTAACCAATTGCATTACATTAAGCCTTATTCCAAGAGATAATATTTTAGCTCACACTAACATCTGAAGTCCGTCTGAAGTGTATTTGTACTGAATGGGTACTATATCACTTTATAACCCCAACTTCTGGAGATCTCTAAAGCTGCTCCTAAGTGCAGCTAGGGCTCATTGCATTACTATCACTCCTCATTTGCCAATTTTACAATGCAACTTTCTACACAAATGCCCCAGTGAGAATAGGCATATATGTTCATTCAGACTCTAGGTTAAAGTCGTATTATTCCATCTGCAGTCAAAATAAGAGCTTCAAAGTAATGATGACTACCACCTCAATTTTTTAAAAGATTATTTAGGATCCTAAGCATCCAAAAGGCATCAAGCAAGGAAGTTACAGATTGAATGAAGAAAACTAACATGTCACTAAGGCATTTACCAAAAGCAGAAATATTAAAAAAATGAATCAGTAAGAGTTCTCAGCATTGAGACACTTAAGACATGACACAACACTTAAGAACCCAGTGGTTAAGCTCAGCTAAACACTAATGGAACCAAATTCCATTAGTTAGATTCACTGGGCTGTTTCCTAAAAGCTTGTGGTGGAGTTGGATCAAATCTGTAAAAGTTGTCTTCACTGCACTCTAGATACAGCCGCCACTAGAAACCAGCACAAAAAAAAAAAAAAAAAAAAAAGCCAAACACAGATTATACAGTATGGCTTTGAGTAACAAACAGAAAGCCAGACTTTAGTATGCAACTCGATCGGTTACATTTATGCATTACTTTGGAAAAAAAGTTTAAGAAAAATCCATAAAAACTGAGGAGTGATATTGAAACAAAACTATGCATATTAATATGGATGTAATTTCATCTCCAGGCTTTAGTGACGGTGATAAACCACTCAAGCTACTCCCTTAGTTCGTATTGTCACCAGAACCCTTTGATGGAATTACAGACAGTGTGTGTTTCGGTGTAGGAATCTCAAGCAAAATGCATGTAATATGGGGAAAAATAGAAAAACACTCAGGTAACTGTGCTCTGAATGAGTACAGAAACATATGCAGCATCTGTAAAAAAAAAAATTGATTACATAAACGGAAAGGGCTAGCATAGAATCATGAACAACTTGAAAGCTGATGCTGTTATACAGCCATTATTTAAAGATTACCATTTATAGCTAGTTTTATAAATGATAGTTTGATAATTCATCTCAAATTATTGCGCTTAACATACCTATCATATTTAGAAGTTACTAACTGTACAGCTCTTTAGCCAACTTTATAAAATACTTTAAAAATACTATTCATACATGTTTTGAAAAATAGATGAATATTATGTTCTGTTTCAAGGCTGTTCTCCATTTCTAAAAAAATGACTTAGCTGTAGTAGTCTGCAGTGATTTGTCAACTGACTTTTCTTAAAGAAAACAAAGGTCTGTACAAATTCCAGGAAATAGAGATTAATTAGGAGATTCAAGCATCAGATTGGGCTCTTGTTTAGAACTGTCAGGAATAAAAGCTATTTTGGAGGTGACCCCTTAAAGACTGTGGCAATGAATACTCTAACACTCCCTTCTCCACTAAAACTCTAATTTTATTTCCTTATTTTGAACCTGGAGTAATTTTGCAGTAATAGCCAGGGTTGAATTCATGAACTACTTCTGCCCTTAAAGCAAATCAGGGTATATACTGATGAGAAGCTGTTGAATGAGAGGGTGCATCTTGTATGCATTATACACACAGGCACTTTTCTAAGTAGAACCATACTTCAAAGTACAAGTTTATCTTTGTGGGACCACAAAGAAGCAGTTCTGTCAAAACCTCAAGTGTTTTTTATGAGATGGTAAATTCAAGACAACATTGTCAAACCAGTAAGAGCAAGTTTGTTTTCATGATTTTTACTTCTCAGTTAAAGTTCGGTTATATTCAGTGATAGTGTACAAGGCTAAAAACATGCTAGTCTATTGGTGACATTGTTTACCTTGCATTCAATCTCTGCCTGCCTTCGTTTTGCTTCACTCAGCTGAGCAAGAAGTCCCTTGTTCTGTGCAGAAAGACACTGTACTTTTTCCTGAAGGTTGGTAACCTCTTGTTCCGCCCTCCGTAAGTGGTTACTGTTGATCTGATTCTGATGTTTATAAGAAAAATGTGTTAAGCAAAGATCTTTGTTACAAATTTATCAGCTAAAGCCTGACAAGCAAGGTGCGTCTGTCTCTCTCTATATATATCTCTATATATATACACATATATCTGAGGGCATTTCTTTTAATCAAGATTGACAGATCATTGGTTATAAAGGTTTTCAACATAAAAGATGATTCAGAATTCAGTTTCTGAATGTAACCAAGACAGTTTCCATCGCATTTGTTTTACAGCCACCACATTCAAAGTGTGCTTAAACAACAAAGGATTCACTGGGATGATGTTACGGTCAGGCTACTGTAAACCTGCTTTCTGTGATCTTTTACTTCAGTAAAATCAAAGACTCCGAACTTGCACCCCAATTACAGCAACAAGCTGGAGCATCAAGAAGCATCAGCTATGTCAGAAGTGCTGCATGCAAATCCCTACCTAGCAAATTGCTCTCAGAAATATGACCCCATAGTTAAAATCAGTAAGTTAGCATGAGATGCATGTTTTTTGTACAAAGCTATGGATAAACCAATATGTGAAATGAAAACAACCATGTTTTGTTTGAAGAGCAACTAAACAATATAAGTTTATGGAAAGGCTTAGGGTGTGTAACACAAATTAAGAACTAGCCAAAAGTCCTATGAGTTTAGTTAACCTTGTTCCCAGAGCAGGGTAACTGTGCCCTCTAGTGACTAAAAGACGTGGATTAACCTGGGGGGGAAAACACTAGTAGTAGTAGTAGTGAAAAAGTATTAACGCTTCAGTGAAAAATGAAAATATATATATATATATATCATATATATATATCATTATATATATCTTGTCTGATATATATATATATATATCAGACAAGAGAAAATTTCTTATTCAGGCAGCAGAGAATAAAGAGGTGCTTTTGGCAGAAAGCAGCAGCCATGTGTCTTGGAGGTACCGCATCTCTGCAAGGGAATATGCATGGATGTGCTACTGCTTTCTGGAACTGGAGAAATTTGTCAAGTGAAATTTATTTTGGTTGTTTTGGGTATTTTTCACCTTTTGCAGAGGTCTCCTTCAAGTATCAGTTACATTTAGCATGTATGTCAAGGAGAGATTTTGCAAAAGCCTGTTATAAATCCTTAACCAGCAGAACACAGCTTAGTGGTAGATTCAGCTTATACTTCAGTAATGTAATATAAATTTGCCCAGTCTGGCACACTGCTGCTTTGGATTTGCTTGCTTAACAACAACTTACTTCCTAGTTAAAAAAAAAAAAAAAAAAAAAAAAGAAGTTCTTGGCAGACAAGTGTTTTGCCTTTTCTGTCAATTTTGGCAATGCTGACTTCATGCTTTCCTTTTCTGTCAGGTGAAAAACTTTCTGCTAAAAATTAACAACACAGAACTGTCTTGCAGAAAGCCCCCAGTTTAGTAACCAGTCTCATGTCCTCAGTAGATAATCTTCAACGGGCAATTTCACCAGAGGAAAGAACACAGCCATTTAAAGAATTAGAATTACAGGATCAGAATCAGTTATGGAAGAGATCAGAAAATTTAATATACTTTAAACTTCTGTTATTCTACTAGTTTGAGGTCAAGATTCATACATACAGGTTAACAGATCAATGAATGAGCAGAAATGAGAAACTGAGAAAGCCTAATTCAGCAAGTAGCTGAAGAGAAAGTAAATTGGACTGAATGCACTAGATTCCTTCTTACGCTGACAGAAAAAGAAATAAGCATTTAGAAACTATAGTGGACGCAGATGGTAAAAAACATCTGATATCTATAAATTGGTATCCAATTTGCTAGTATTCAGCTCAACTCACACATGCCAATGTTCAATATCATACCTGTGTTTCCATCTCCATCATTCTTTGTTTGATCTCTCTGAGTTCTGCTTGAGTTTCTGCTTCTCTCAGTCGCACTGTCATGAGCTCATCCTGGAGCTCATTCACGGTGTTTTTTCTGGGAGGATCTTTCCATCTTCCAGTTGTGCGAGCTAGATGACGCTAAAACAGTATGTCATCACTTGATAAACCTGATCTTTCCTAGCGTTCATTAATTTAAGGTAACAATTTGCTTCAAAGATATCTTTGATACCTGAAAGTTGATGGATTACATGCCTATTATGCTACTGCTCACCATAAAAACTAAAATCCATGCAAATTTTCAAATATTAACAGAAACAAGCAGCTGAAGGCAGGAGATTGCAAATGCAGAAAATTGGTGAATTACAATTAGACTTGATGGACAGTTTTGCTTATTTTAATCCTCATTAACGTTCACCGAAGACTGAGCATACTTTTATTTTCTTATCAGGAACTTCCTTTCTACCAGAATGGTTGGTTGGTAACACAAGCCTGTCTGCTCCCTCTAACAACTTTGGACCAATTTCTAACATACTTTTGAAGTAAAGTTTCTTGTGGCAAACTTATCTAAAGATATTATCTCCTGAAAAGCTTGATCCTAGGACACCAGCATCAACTTGATTGATATCCATATCTTAAGTGTTTCATGTCATTGTGCTTTATCATATTCATAAAAAAGTATTACTACACATACCTGCCAGTGTTCCTCCAAGTCTTTGACTTGCTGCCTTAGTTCTTTGAGACCCATCAGAGCTTCTGCTTCCCTTAGTTTTACAGCAATCAGTTCTTCTTGTAATCTAGCAACATTTTCTTCATCAGGTAAAGAGCTGTTCCTCTGCAATGGGTAAGATGCTCTTAAACATGTATTGGAATAAAATTGCTTAGTTAAACCTGCTTCAAAAACATACATGGAACGATAACACTATTGACTAAAATTTCTTAGCAACGCACTCCTTTAAAACCAAATCTCTCAAAAATTTAAGATTTTGGATAGGTATGGATCTTTCAAATGCTGACTACAAAAATAAAAACAATAAAAAAGACTAGGTATTTGGACTTTCACGTTTCCATTGATGACAACCCTAGCAAAACTAGTCTATATAGTCTGTAAAACTGCATCATTTATGCTATTTATTGGTAACAAGTCAAAAGTATGGAAAGAAAAATGTTAGGCTTATCCAAAATGGAAATTTAGATTTTGAAAAGCAGGCCATCTGTCGTCACAATAGCATTAAAAAAGGTTAATAAGAAGCATCCATTGAGATTTGCAATAACAGTCAGTCAAGAGAAGGCTCTATGGATGAAAGGGCATGGATGTATACAAAAAAAAAAGACACATGAGAAGCTGCAAGATTGGAGAAAGCCAAACAGAAAGTAGGAATATAGTAAATGTGTCACAGCAGAAGTGATCTGAAATAAAAAATAATAATATTAAAAAAAAAAAAAAGTGTGAGTGTGGGAAAGAAACAGAGCAGGAGAAACAGGACACGGCCTACCTAAACTACAGTATCCCTCCACTGAGCGCTCTCAGGGAAAAATCCTCTATTAAGGAAAACCTTCTTAACAGTGAGGGTGACAGAGCCCTGGCACAGGCTGCCCAGAGAGGTTGTGGAGTCTCCTTCTCTGGAGATCTTCCAAACCCACTTGGACGCAGTCCTGTGCCACGTGCTCTAGGTGACCCTGCGTGTGCAGGGGGGTTGGACTAGATGATCTCTAGAGGTCCCTTCCAACCCTAAGCATTCTATGATTCTATGATCGGTTGTTTAAGTAGTCAAATACTCCCAGTGGAGCTGTACTTGCTCCCTTTACTAGTTATGTGGTGCACCAGTATAACAACAGTCATGAGCTGTGTTTACAGGGTTTGGAGTTTACTTCGGTCATTTCTCATGTGCCTGAATTCAGTTGATTGACTGAATACTACTTTCCATTGCTGCTTACCCCTTACATTAAAAACTCCCTCTCCTCCAGATATTCTTTGAGTTTTCAGTATATACTTCACAAAGGTTGAATAAAAGCATTCTCTCATTGAATTTTGAGTAATCCTTCTGATGTTAAATCCTTACTGATGCTCAGAACAGTGAGAGCTACCACCCTACTAGGCTGTCAGATTCCTATCAAGCCCCTCAGATAATGTAAATAATTCACGGGAGTGAAGATTTTACCTTAAAATTTACCAATAAATTCTGGTCACTTTTTGAGTATTTAAGAAGTTTTCATGAGGAAGCAGTTTCCCAAGCCAATATGAAATGATTGGAAGAGTATACCTTGTGTTAGCTCATTTAGTACTTTTCTGTTTTATTTTACAGTCAAGTTTTTCTTCAGAGACAGGTAAACATTTGACAGGAATACAGGTGATGCTCTGGCATTAGTACCATGTCAGATATGATTTGTGCTGCCACCCAGGTTAATGATTTCAATGCTGAACAGCTGAGTATTTTTGTTTTTTGTTTTTTTTCCCCCCGTCAATGATGTGGAGACTTGGGAGAGAATCAGAACTAAAAGACCTGGAAATGAGAACACTGAAATTTTTTTTTTTTCTCCCAAATATTATTCTGTTTCACACCATCTCACACCCTAAATCTATTACTGTTGTTGAAGGATATAATGTTGAAGCAATTGATATTTACTGTGAAGACTTCAGAATTCAAATTTTCCATAGCAGCAGGCTCTGGTAACAGGAGACAAGCAACCTGTTCTTCACAGACCTCTCAGGATGTTCGGATTTGAAAAGCATCTTGCAATTATGAAAACATGACAGAGGTTTCTAGAGCAGAGTTACGCAGAGAATTCCTGAATTCTCCCTCTGGTGCTATTTCACACCAACGATTCTGGGTTTGATTTACCTTTTCCATCTCTAGAACTTTATCTTGCATCTCCTTCAGGGCACAGTGATGTTCAGCTTCACTCAGTCTGGCTTGGACCAACTCTTTTTCCAGCTGTAGCACAAAGTCTTCACTGTATCGTGAACTGCATTTATGCTACAAAGTTTGCAGAAATATATTTAGTATGAAGAGCAGATGATTTGAAAGGGAGTTTATGTGCCAGATTTGGAGCAAAAATATTTCAAATGTTTAACACTAAGATTATTATCTTAAGATCAACAGAAGAGCTTACCTTATACTGGTCTACTAACATGCTCATCCAGATTGCTAAAATCAGGAATCCTAATGCATAAAATACTAATGCATAAATGCTCAGTGTTCGGGGCCACGCTGAGACCCCTACTATTAGTAGGGAGAAATATTTCTTCGCATTTTTATAGACTGAAGAGTTTATGATATTTGTAGCTATTTTGATAGGCAGAAACATGGAGGTTTGGGAAAGACTAGGTTATTTGCACAACACAGATATCTCCCTTAATTACACTTAAACTCTGAATCAGCACAAACGTTCCATAATCTTGGGTTTAAGTACCATATTCTCTAAGGTACTGACCATCGCTTTGCTTTATTCCCTTCTTCCCTGACCTTTAATGCACAAACTGAGGACACAAAAGAAGGATAAGCAACATGTCACTACACTCTAAGAGAGACTTGCATGTCAACTTCACCTTTCTTCATGACTTAACGCACAAAACAATTTCAACATGTTATCTCAGATGAAGCTTACAGTTACTTTTTAAATAATATTTTTAAAATACCCAGGATATTGTGTGATATTAAAAGGCAAATGTAGCTTTTGCATAAAACCTTTAGTTTCACTGAGATTATCCATTCTGTCCATCCTAAGTAACTCCATAGCTGAACGCACAGGGAGTTGTGCTAGTGTACAAGTATAATAATAGTGGTCATTGATGGTCACTTAATACTAACTTTCCCTTACATCAGGCTAACTTTATATTATTTTCAAATCCCATAATGTCTTTTCTTCAGCAGGGGATGGAGGTAGCCCTGATTTAAACATGGAGTAGGGCAGACTATGTTGACTTTTACATACAATTGCTTCACATGGTGTGGGAGCAGAAACAGCACATGAACAAACATGCAGATGTTTTTGGGAAAGGGCAACAGCTCTTTGATCTCCCCTGGCTGTTCGCACAAGTCTACCAAGGATGCACACAGCAAGGCAGCTGGACTCTCACTTTCTTGTTCCAGGCTCTGCTTCAGAGACAGTACAAAGGAAGAACAGGGTGTTTTCTTTGGGTAAGTGGTCCTGTACTTCTAGGAAACAGAGACCAACACAGTCCCAACAGAAAATAAATAAATGAATCCCCCTTGGCATGTAACTTGTGGCACATACGAAGCACCCGACTACCCGGCTTCTGGCTCTGTCCCTGTCCACAGAGGGACCAGCTGGGCCTTGCTGCAGTCAGGCAGAGCTTCCTCCAGGCAGCTCTTGGTTTACCAGCACTGTGAGGAAGAAACCCCTTTCCTCAATCCTTTGGTTACCAACTATGCCTAGAAGCCCTCAGCAAATTTTTACATTTAAAGATTTGACGCAGCAGGTAAAACAGTCACTGCTGTTCTCAAGCAAACACTTGCATAGCTAAAGCGGTTCTAGCTAACCCAGCTGCTACCTGGGAGCTTCACAGTTACTCCTCTGTCTCCAGTTTGCAACACAAAACTTTACAGGTCCTGCTGTTTTTAGAAAGCTTGCACTGACTTCATTATTCTCTATTAGAATGTGAAAGTTAGTATCCAAAGTAAAATTAAAACTGAAGTTTCAGTCTCAAACTTCACTATTTTCAATTTCTCTCCCAGCATTTCCAAATAAATGTCCTTAAAAATATGCAGAATACATCTGATTTAACAAAATTTTTGTTATATGTGCATTAGCATTACTTTCCAGTCATCAGGGACAGTTATTTAAATAGGAATACCTTTGTTTTCTTCCCTCCCCAGAGAATGCAAGTTAGGTTTCTTCAAAATATTATATAGGTGTCTTAGGTAGCAGAAATACTCAGTGAACTCTGAATTTTTTTTTTTTTTGATAATTCAGAAATGACAATTCACTTTACACTTGATATCAAGATGGTAATAGATACAGATTTTGAAATATATGAACACTGCACCTTTAAATAAGCACAGTTAGACCATTTATTAATGTAAGTCTACTTCTAATAATTTTTAATAATTAAAATAAACTAGAAACACTGGAGAAAAAGCAGTAAAGGAAGTATTCATAGGACAACACAGAAGACAAGTATTACCAAAAGGAAAGCAACTGCCATTAGAAAGTGGCAAAAAGATGTACCAGTGTCTTCCACAGAGCAAAGGAAAGTTCCAAAATTCAAAAGAAATCCGTACGTTTCCACCAGGTGGAGCCCCAAGTACATAAAAACACGAGCATATGTGTTTACTGTTTGTTGCTTCTCGTCCCATGCTTAGGAAGTTAAAAATCAGTCCAAACAACATATCTCATGAATGCAGAAGCAGCCACACAACTATTAATCCAAACCAGCTGAACCTCTCACCACATTAGTTCAGACCGCTTCCAATAACACGGTACAATTCTTTGCCCTGCCAAAAGAGGGCACAAGAGCACGAACCCCTCTCCAACTGTAGGAGCTCGGAGGCCTAGCTGCGAGGCCGAGCACCTCCACAGCCGCATCCCCGTGCACGGGAGGAGGCCGAGGCCGCCAGCACACGGGCCGCCTGCCTCACGCTTTGCCTCCTCCCCGCCTGCGGCGGCAGCCCTGCAAGGCCGAGGCTGCCGCTACCATCCCGCTCACCCAGGCCCGGCTCCCCAGCCCAGCCACGCCACGCCGCTCAAAGCAACAGCTTTCAACAGGCACATGTAGATCAGCACGTTTAAATTTAAGCACAAATTCACAGGCTGTATTTTTAACATGAAATTTTAGCCCTGTTTTGTGACTTGCAATTGAATACACGTAAATAACAGGGCATCACTAAGACACATGGTGTCTCCAAAAACAGTTCAAAAAACAGGTATATTGTGGTAACCAGACAGCAAAAGAAATGGCTACCCCATCTACAAACATTTCTCATTTATTTCACTTGCAACATATCAAAAAGCATCATTAGAACATCCCCAAGTCTCTCAAACATAACTTCTTAAAATAAAATTTAAAAAAAAGCCCGTGTTATAGAGCCACAGATCACAACAATAGGTATCCTTCTGACCATCCTGGAATATGCACCATACATATGCTGAAATGCATTAGCCAATACCCTGTGTGTAGTGTTGAATTTCAGTTGAATGATATTTTCAGTCTAACAGAAAATCTGTTCTCAGCCTTCAAAGATGCACAAGCATTGCCAGAGCTTTGGTGGAGAAAGTACAAACCAAACTTATGCCATCTTTAGCCAGCAGCTGCAGGAAGCCAGGTTTGGGTTTTTAATTGCAAACCAAAAGTACCCAGAGCTTCAGAGATGTACCTAGATACCACTTGTTTAAAGCAGTATGAGCATATGTACCTCAGCACTGCTAGGGCACAGCTATTCATGCATGAATTGTATCTGTCTCAGGACAAGATATCAAGGACTTTGCCAGTAGCTTAGATTTTGGTCTCAATAACTTCCTCAAGTCTTGCACATAACACCAGTCAAAACATACTAAAGGTAGGCATGTTACTATATATTGCAATCAAAAGACAGTTATTTTTCTGCTCCGAAACAAAACTCCATGCTTTAACAAAGTAACACCAAACCAAGGATCAATCCCCTTCCACTTGTTTTGCAAGAACCAAATTTAAACATGCTAGAAAAAAAGTAGGGATACAGAAAAAGTTAATGCAGAAGGGAATGACTTACATGAGATTCCAGCTAGAGGTATTATGAACCAGTTCTCAAACTGAACAGTGTCACAATTAGCAACCCCTAGGCTTTTAGTAAGAGCTCCTAAAAGGTGTTCTTTTTTATTTTTTTTCATTCTTAAATAACATGAGCTAATCCAAGATTGTGACTCCTTTATTAGTAAAAACTGAGAGAAATCGCATTTACTCCGATTTATGTAATTTTAAAAATGCAAAGCTTGCAAGGACAGCATAAGGACTGTACCATGAGGAGGAAAAACAAACACAAGTGATTGAAAACCATGAGATGAGGTGCTGCCCGGCTCCTTACCCATTGCTGCTGCTGCTGGAGCTCCCTGATGGTTTTCTCAGCTTGCTCCAGTTTAGTAATGGCCTCATCACTCTGCTGTTTGATGGTGGCCAGCTCCCGTTTTATGAGGTAGTTTTCCTCAGCCTCCTGGGCTCTTGTCACTTGTCCCTTAGGACATAATTTTCTTTTTAAAGCAATTGAGGACAGATCCAAGAAAGACTGCCTGGTGAAGCTTAGCTACTTATTTTATCAGATTGGTTTTGCAAACAGCGTAGAGTACAAATAAAAATTTCAGGACAATGCGGTACTAAGTAGCTGCTTTAGTATTTTATTAAAGTTTGGCATCCTTTTAGCAAGCTCAGTTGTGTACCTGCATTCAATAGATTTAATTCATGCAATATTACTTATTTCTACATGCACAGATTTAAGCTTTCAATAGTCACTTCTGTTAATACAATGCTGCAGAAGACATTTGTAACAGGAATTTACTAAGTTTACATCAGGTTAGAAAAATATTGTAACATGCAGATAGTGGGTTTATATTTTTTAGTAAATAAAATTAAACAAATTGTAGTAAGAAGTTAGCTATGCATTTATTTCCAAATCAACAAGGTAGGGAATACAGTTCTTACACACATGCAAATATGCATGCATTAAAGCAGATTTTTCTTTTTTTAGAGCAGGAACAGAGTCATATGGCAAAACACTAAAGGACTATACCTGTATCAATCTATCTGCCAAGGAAGCACTTTCCTATAAAGGAAAAATTCAGATAGGAATAAGGAAAAGAAAAACAAAAACGAAGGAGTGATAAAAGCAACAAAAACAAGAGCGAAGAAAAGAAACGCCCAAATTCTACCCACTTTGTGTACAACCTCTTTTTAAATTAGTAACTCTTCTTATAAAATAAGGCAACTATTCCTGAAAGTCCTAGGAAGCAGGGCTTTCTTAAACAATTTAACACATTTTAACAATTGACACAAGAAGGTCTCAAAGCTGGACTTCACAACATTTAAAATTCACCTAGAAAAGATGGGATATTTTTATCTGAACAGCCTTCTTTCCTTAATAGCAGAAGTTAGTAACACATTATCTGATATGATCTAGTAGCTGGATGCAAGAGGTGATCTGTGGTCCATCCACAACATGAAAGGAAGGCATAATTTGAGCACATTAGAAACTCCACTAAGCGCAGAGGCATTCATGCAGGACTACAGCTTTGAAAGAGAAAGCAAGAAAGTTAGTACACACTGACAGCTGTGAAAAGTAGAAAATTTTAACTTTGGAGGTTAATATTTTGCTTTCCTAAATACTATCAGTAACTCAATTACCAGTTAACATATTCTTTTTTTCCCCTGGCCGTTTCCTGGAAGTTCATTAGATGTCCTGTGCAGAAAGTCTGATTTCCATCCTAACACCCTTAAAAACAATAGATTTCTGCAGACTCTTATGCACTGAGTACATGTTTTTACAGACAGTTAAACCATCTTTGTCTTTGGAATCACTATTGAAATTAAAGTTCAAAGTGGTTGATAAGAGCTAGTTACAGAGAAAAGCTAAGATAAGAGGTTCATCAAGGCACACTAAGCAAATTACGAGCAAGTCATATGTTGGAATGAGAAGTTACTTGGGAAAAAGACACATTTGTAATAAAACTGAATGCTTTTATTCGCATTTTACGATCTGTTTTTCAGGTGTTGCAATGATATCCAGAAATTCATATTAATAGTTAATCAATTTTAAAGTGTTCCAATTCCAATCAGACTGGAATACTCTGAAAATTCAGTATGAAATTTAAGTATAGAATTTGTAGTGTCTGGCATCTTATGACTGATAAAAAACAAAACAAAAAAACCCACTTCTCTACAAGTTAATTGTAAGACAGATATTTACTATCATGTTTGCCACAAAATTGCTGAGATTATTGACTACAAACAGCCTCAAGCTTCTTTAAAATAGCCCGCTTTTTACAATTAATTTTACTAACATTAATATTTGAAACAGGATTATAAAAATGTATTGTTTCACAACTCTATCTCTCAGGGTGTCCTCGTCATATGCTTTCCTCCAAACTGACATTCATAAATCGTAATCAATTGTAATGTAATAACACAGTTGACAGTTTCTTGGAGAAACTGCAAGGGATTACCTGAGGTGTGACAACTTTCACTTATGTCACTGGAAATTGACTCTCTGCCCTTTCCCTCCCCATGAGACATGAACAACTGTTTGCAACTCAAGTGTTTAATTTCATTTGGAGAAAGACAGTTAACTTGCCCAGATAAGACAGATGTTTTCATTCTAGACCAGACTTGCTCCAATGCAACCTGCCACAGAAGTATGGGATCCAAAATATAAAGGAGGGACCAGAGAGCAATGCCAGAATGTGGGCAACGTAACAGCAATTAGAAGCACACACCGAAAATTAGACCCGGTTACAGGAAGCCTAACGCAACTTTACGCCAGACTACACTTTGTGAAAAAATACCAGCTTTCCCCTGCCCTCCCTCATATCCCATTTTAAAAAACAAAAACAAAAGACAAAGTAAAGGCAACAGGCTTCCTATGTTGACTGCTGCAACAGCCTCTACTATTGCATTAGGCAGCAATGAAATAATCTGCTTTCATCTCTGCTTCTCTTGTCACTGGTAGGTCCTTCAGGTGACTCAAATAAAGACGACCTAGTAACTTCAGATCTCAGAAGTAAGGATTCTGTCATAATAACCTCTTTCCACACAAGAACCCCATAATTTCATGTGCTCTTTTGTATTTTGAGGTAACCCTTTTAATTCTTAAAAAAAAAAAAAGTAATATATGGTGTAATAAAAGCTGACATATGTCAAAATGTTCAGCTTCATACATTCAGTAAGACTCACACATAAGAAGTTTAAAAATTTAAAAGCAGTGACCTTAATTGCTGGGCTGTTACTGCCTTGCTATTTGGCAAAGCACTGTTAGTAAGTACTGAAGATTAGCCAAAAAAAACCCCACCACCCTAATGAGTTTTCATTACAAGATTCCCATCCGATACTTAAATTGATGTCCGATTTACTAAGTAGTATAAATTAAGTCATCACCAACAAACTTACTTTTTCTAATGTTTCGATGCGCTGTTTCAAAAGTCTGTTTTCAGTTCGTAACCTCTGCAAGGCAAATGATTCAAAATAGTTTCTCAAGTTATAAATTTAAAGTCTGATAAAACCCAAGTTATAATCTTAGATTATCACACTTATGAAAAATAAGTATAAGCACAAAATAAGTTGCAACCATTTTTTTTTTTTTTATGATGTACTAATTCAAAAGAGGAGTGTTAAACAGTTTGGTTCAGCAAAGACAAGATATTAAGTGTATGTGTTAGATTAAAGAGGTGTGTGCACAAGTGAAGCACAAAGTTACAAAGTTTCCTTCCTTCTCCTCCCAATACTTTATGTTAAATTACATAACTACATTTATTTCATCTGCAGGACATTATACTCAAAGTTACTTGCTTCACCTGGCTCAAATGTGAGAAATAACTGAACGAAAAAGCTTATTAAATAAGGTGTTTTATATAAATTTTAGCAATCGGTATTCAAGTAGGCACATCTGTATCTCTGAGAACAGACACACAGCTATTAGTTCAGCAGTGTTTTATTCTCCCAGGGTAAGGGGCAGACTCAACATGCTCCTTTTTCATTTCCGTAAAATGCAAGAGGTTTTTAGCACCTAGAGGGTCAGTGAGAAATGGTTTCATATAAAAAAAAATTGCAACAACTAACTGAGTCTTACACAGCTTAGTTTGGACCCACTCAGCTCCTCTTAGCAAGGGACAATAACATTCTGCTTGGGCTTGCTGAGGTTTGGCGATTTTTGTTTGTTTGTTTTTGTTTGTTATTTTTCAGAAAGGTCAGGTAGGCAAGAGGTGATTGAGCAGCAGGGAAGAATTTCAACCATCAGTTAAATTCCTCAGATTGAAAGTTACAGTTGTCTTCAGGGCATCATTCCCTCCCATCTCGCATAGACTTGGCTTTTAAGACCTGCAAATCTAATCTGAAAAGCCATCACAGCAGTCCTTGACAGAGGTTAGATACTGCCACCAGGCTGTCTTGCTGTCACAGGGAAAAGAAAACCTGCAGGAAAAGACTTGGGAGACCATTGTGCTCCCAGATGCTGCTCCTAGATACAGATCACTACCTTTTTCTGCAGGATCAAAGCCTCAGAACATCATACCTAGAGGCAGAATGACTAGTGGGGGAGAGGAAGCAGCAAGGGTGCAACTCAAATGCCCTCTAGCAGGCTTTGCACCGCACGCCCTGCCTCGCTTCCCCCTGCCTTTGCTTGGGGCTCTCACCAAGAAGCACAGTACAAGGAGGAAGCAATTCCAGCTTCAACATTAGGATTTAATAAAAATAAATAAATAAAAAGTGAAGAGAGATGGGCAAAACCCCATTTTTGTCATGACAATGCAGTGATTAGAGGAGATAGGAATAGGTGAGATAGTAAAAGGGAAATCGGAGCTTAATTCTCAGGTCTACCACATTATCCATCAACTCCAGCTCCAAAAAAAGAAGGAAAACGACATAGAAGACACCTTGATCCAAAGCATTGGGAGAAAGGGCAGAGGAAAAAAAGCAAGATCTCAAAACTCAATAATTAAACCATTCCCATGACTTCACTGTACAGAGCTGCTTTCCAAAGCCTCCCACTTGGGACGCCTACATCTGAAATAGCATATTGGGAACCTCTGAAAGAGGCTTGCTGTAATCAACATTTAATCAGCAGAAAATAAACATTTTGTGAGTTCAGCTGGTCTCTACCCATGATTTTTCATTAATCTGGCCTCCCAGAATCCTCAATAATTCTCCTATTAACTGTCCTTTATAAGCAGTCAGTCCAAATACAAAAACCAAAAAGAGATTTGGGGACCTCAGTTACAACATATCCCACTGCAGACATAGATCCAGCAAGTTACCCACAGCTAGGAATTCAATTGCTCCAGAAATAAATATGTTGAATCTAAACCTTACTTTAATTTCAACTTGTTCTTCCATTTCTTTTGTTTTTATTGTAGTGTATTCCTTTTCTAACCTAAAAACAGAAAGAGTAAGTGATCATGAGAAAAATTCAGACAATTTACTTGGTGTAATGCCTAACATACAACAGCAAAAACAAACAGATACACATTATGGATATCTCCTCTGTTTAGCCAACCACTAGAGTTGCCAGTGTGCTACTCCTGTAAATATTTTGACTGGACATTAGCACTAAGTTAAACACCAGAAGAGAAGCTTCTGCAGATACAGACTGTGAGCCAGCCCTCTGAACTGCAGGTGCCTGCTTGCATAGCCTTGATAACACATGCCTCTGCAGGTCAGATGATTTGAAGCTACTTTGCAATAACAACTCAGTGTAATTATACAAAAACCAACACACTGTATTAAAGTTCATGTTCTCCTTTGGCTTAAGGTAAGGAACACAAGCTGAGGTATACACTGCCTCTACGGAGGGCAGCCAAGCAGATGTGTTCAGACTCAGAATGGCAGGGTTATAAGCTACATACATTTATACTGGCTGTCAGAGAAAGCATTTTCCCTGAAAAAAAATGTTAATACTTGTGTTTTGGAGAGTACAGACTCACTGTCCAGCACTGGTCACACTTTGCTGATAGAATAGGCAACGTGCAAGGGCTGAGTATAGCCCGCAACACAAGAACACTAAATAGACTGTGGACTACAGCCAAGGGCCCAGCTTGAAAATGGAGGAAATGCCGAAGTTAAGGTCAAAAAAAAGACAAAGTGTAGCTTGACTTAGCAAAATATATATAGTTGTATATGGCAGAAGAGAGAAGTACATCTATTTTTTTTCCAGTTCTCAAAGGCATTGCAAAATTTCAATCAATTTAGAATTTAGCCAGACCTCACCTCTAACACTGTGTGAACAATTCTGCAGTTCCTGAAAAGGTAAATCTTAAGAATTAAGACCACAGTGAAATTTAATCTCCTTTGCCCAATTTACTTTCACAAAAGCTGCTGGTGCTCCTCAATTTCTTTTTACAAAAGTTTCAGCTTTCTTCAAAAGTACTTCTACACAAGATAACTACTATATTTCAGAAAAAGCAAATACTGATTTAGAAGAATTCTCTAGCTGATAAAACTTCAATTTTAACTGCTCACAGTATAAATACCCCAGAAAAATTTGACAAGGAAAACAAAATAAAATGCTAAATAGCTAGCTTAAGATGCACAAACAAAGAGCAACTCTTGGCAACAGTATAAACTATTTTCTCAAAATGTTATACCTACTTTTTCATCTTTTTTGCATTGTATTTGACTTGGTAAGATGCTTGGATTAATTTGTCTGGACCACTGTCAAACTGATGTGGAATGACCTTTTGAAAGTGCTAAAAGCAATCAGAGCACAAGATTACGTATAATAGTGGCAAAGAAACATACATACTTAACACGTATTTCAGACATCTATTATTGTAACCTTAGTTTACCTGTAACATTCCCTCCATGTCAAGTTGCAGTAACTCTGCTTGGTTCATCTGAAGAACTGCTAAACCTACTCGAAATACTATCTCTAAACCCTGGAGGGAAAAAAAAAAAAAAAGTTCAAGAAAATACCCAACAATCATTTGTGGCATTGTCAACAATATAGAAAAATAACAGATCTAATATTTACCATGCTACGAAATCACCCAGTTTGGGAGAAAAAAAAACAAAAAAACAAAAAACACCAAAACCTCAAGCTACAGATGTTCTCTACATCAGCTTTTATCCAAAGGTTTGTGTTTTTTTCTTTGTTACTAAATATATGATACCAAAAAAGGTATTTCTCAAAAAGGATTTTAATTTCATCTAGGATGCACCACAGTTAAACAAATTGACAGAAATGCTTGACTACAGTCCCTTGAACGATGCACCTTTGACTTAATATCTTCTACAAGATGGCTCTAGAGGAAGAACAGGCTTCAGTTTGATACCAACTGCAGCCATTTGAAGCTTTAATTCTGAACATTCCTTAGGTGTCATTTTGGTAACACCACTGAATAAATACATTTTTTTTGTCTCCTGTCAACAGTTTTGCAAAATTTCCACAACTGCTTCTTCCTGTTCTGTATGTCCTTGGAGAGCTTTAACTTGGCTTGCAAGCAGCACTGTTTTCCACCCGCTCGCTATATTACTGACAAACTGATGTTGCAGCTGCAGGAAATGCTAGTGATCCACATACAGAACATGCAGCAGATTTGATAACTCTTCAGTACACGTACAGGACAAAGTTGTATATACAAGATATACACTCATAGATGTATTCTCTTCCTTAGTAGGCTATCACACAGATATCTTCCCCTATCAAAAATACTCCAACAAGCATAAGGACTAAAAAAATAAGAATTTGCCTGTCAGAGTTGCCCATCAAGAGGAATTTATACCACTACATAAACAACTGTTTTTTCTAAAAAACTACTCTTGAATTGGAACATATAGTATTGAGAAGTTACCTCAGACATAAAGATATCAAATATTCTTGTTGCAATTGGTAGTGGAAAAGTTGTAAGAAATATAGTTAAAAACCATGATGATGCATACATAGAAGTGTGGAAACTCTGAGACTGAAAGTGCACATAAAGCTCTGGAAGATGCTCCTGGAAAGAAGATTGGGAAAAACCAACATGTTAATCTTCTGCTGGTAGTTTTGTGTGGTTTTGACAAAGCTGGAAAAAAAATAATAGAAAATAAAATCTAGCAACAGCTTCACAACCCAGCATTAGAAGAGACATTTTGATCATTACAATCATGCAACTTAAGTTTAGTAGTGAATACAGCATTTCTACCCCACACAGCACAAGTTACTAGAAACACTTCTTGATCTTACTTGCAAGTCAGAGGCTTGCAGTTCCTTAAGTCACATCTAGAATGGCTACCAGCAGACAGCAGGAGGGGTCTGAGGTCCTGCCAGAGGACCTCATCTCAGTAGAGTGTGTGTTATGCAACCTGCCCAGGGAACAGGATCACTTCCTAGGGGAAGGGAAAAGGGAGACGGCAAAACCCAAACCCCCCGTCTGTCATTCTGACCTGACAGGACAGCTGAATTCTGTGCATGAGGGCGCCTTCCAAACTACATGAAAAACTATATAAAAAATAAAGGGAGAGGCAGTATAAACTGAGTAGAGCCTTGGACCCCAAAATTAGACATTCATATACTTAATGTGTGACAATACAAGTCCTCATGTTTCCGTGTCTAAAGTCAGTTACTGTCTGACAAGGGTTAGAAAGGGGATCATACAGCCACACACATTCACTTCAAGTCCTGCAGCTAGCTCTTCTCAGCCAACAGCCATGCCTGCTCTTCAAGTAACCCCCACTACTCCTTCCTTATCACTAAAGAGAAAATATAATAGATTTTGCATGTACCTGTATCATGCATTCAAACTGGTACATACAAAGGCCCAGCTCAGCCATGCTCGGTTTAAACAGCTCTCGTAGTCGGTAATCTTGCATTAATTTAACAAACACACAAAATGCCTCTTCTTCTGGCATCTGTATTAAAAAATATATATATTTAAAAAAGCACAGTAAAAATGGTGGACAAGTATAAAGTTGTATCAATGCAAGGTTGTGAGGATTTTTAATGGATTTATAACAACTTACTATAATAAACTTTTATATATACATACCATATCCCACAAAGTGATTTCTAAACCAAATAGGGTTTTGTAAATTTATTACAATATAACTCACTTTGGCATAAAACAAATATACTAAAATAAGGGCAGCCTGAAGATTATCAATTTAATTGTGAAGTCTTATTTCAACTATAAGGCAGTTTAGTGTCAAATCTGAGAGAATTTTGTTGAATTGAAAAATCCCCCCTCCCAAATAACTTTCAAGTCTGCAGTCCTATGTTAGCTCTGAGAAATAAATATATTCTCCCACTCAGAAAAATTTCATCTTCTTGGCAAGACAGAAGCGGAGAATAAAAATATAATTTGATTTGGAGTAACCAATTGCCTTTAACAGCTCCCTTGCTACAAGTAATTAAAAAGCTATTATAAAAATTCCCATCACAAAACACTCCATACAGTTATGCATTCCCAGCAAGTTATAAGATCGCATTTCTTAATACCATGTTTACCTGCATAAGCAATAATCCCACTATAAAAGCACTTCCTTGACAGTATCCAACCTCACGATCCACTAAAGAGTAAGCCTGGAAAATAAAGTTTTAAGAGCTTGAACAATTAAGACACCATGAGTAACAGAATAAAATCATAGTTAAGATACACTAGTTTCTACCTGCTGCTCCAAAGGGATGTAAGTCTTATTCCAGTGGCCTACAAAGAACTAAAGTACATGTGAAAACCATGCGGGCCAGAGGGGCTGGCCAAGCCTAGCCAGGCACCCCAGCCAGCTGCCACATAAACTGCACTACAAGGTGACCTACTTCCCTAACCAGCCTCCACTCTAGCAGCAGGAGACAAATCCCCAGCGAGCAAGCAGCTCTTCCCGGAGGAGCCCCAGGCTCTGCGCGCAGCTGAAGGGATCGCTCGTCCCCAGGAGGCTGCTGCTTCCTTTTGAGAGCTGGGGATGTGACCAAGGTTTGAAATCTTGCCAACCTTTCTGTTGAAACTATGTGAAATCGAGCAAGTGTGTCTTTCTAAATTTAAGTATTGGTACAGTGGAGGCAATACAAGGGGGAAAGAAAAAAAAAAAAAAAACACAATTTCATGGGCATATTCTTGTTCTGCACTAAGGCTCTCTAACAACCGCGCTTTACCTTGTACCTGCCATTTTGTGCTACCACACACAGGTTCAGAAATGCTTGAAAGCTCAGTGCCAGTTCTGATTTACAACACGCTCGTATTAGTCAACTTTAATTAAACATTGTTTACTACTTCACTTCATAGCACACTGCATTCCATTATGCTGTCAGCAGTTAGCATGACATTGTTTTAATGTAGAATGAAATTGCGCACAAGATCCGAAGAGGTTTAAATCATTTAAATACTTATACAGAAATATTTCAAAGCCATCTTTGAAACTGAGTACGATTTGGTAGACCATTTCAGTGTCAAGTGAAGAGTTCCAAAAAAAATGGAACATGAACTAATGCAAATTTAAGATAGAGGCAAATTGTTTTCCAAATCTCTGCTGCTAGCATTCTTGTCAATGTATTTTCAAGGGTCATGAGATCCTGACTTACCTTCATTACATTAAATAAAACCTCCTGTCCAAGGCTGTCTTTTTCTTTAAAAAAATCATGTTCAGGGTATGTTCTAGCAATGTCCCTTCTTATTAGTTTCTCACAAGGAGAGGTCATTTTCAAGAGCTCCGAATACTGATCCTTAATGGACATGCTCTGGGCACTGCACAGGAGCTGCCACACGATGGCTCGGAAGTGATGAGGTATCCCCTTTCGAACGAGCTCCTGAAAGTGCAAGAGAAACGGCACAAAATTAGTATTTCCTACAAGAACAAGCACATGACTCTACAGAACAGCTTTCAAACAAAACATTGCAACAAATTAGTTCTTCATTACTTTACCATATGTAAAGGAAATTACACAGCTCATAACATTAACTCCAACTTAATCTGATAGATTATTGGCAGAAGTAAGAAGCCAAAGTCTTCTTCTAGTGGGGAAAATGGTGAATGAAAAGTAGTTTATTATGCATAGTAAGCTAAATAAACTGAATATTCAAATAATTTCTTTTTCAACCACTCACCTCTCATGGAACAGAACCTAAGATTTTTATATCTCATGAAATATTAATGACAATATCCTTAACTGTATTTCTAGTCTGTGATTAAGATGGAAATCATCATTCACTGAAAATAATTCAAGACAGGCGGCAAAACAATCACGCAGTACTGCTATCAAGTCATTTGACAAATATGATGTGTCACCTAATCTTCCTGGTGTGCCCTTCTTTTCAAGTTCTCTTAAGTATTTAAGCATTTCAGACACTACCATTAAAACATTAAATTCATTCCTCCTGAATTAACTTTGTTAAATATTCTGGAATAGTTGGGAAAAAAATAAATTAAAAAATCAGATAGTATACAATTTCAGCTTTGCCAAATCAATCTAAGCACCAGATTCCAGAGACCACAATAACCAGGCACGTACTAGTTTGTTGCTTGTCTTTTCAGAAGGCACAAATAAAAGATCCTAGTTTCTTGATCTAGAAATTTGGGGAGGTAAGGAAGGGGAGAGAAAGTTTTCCCAACTACCTCACTTGCTTTCTTCAACTGCTGGAGCATTGCACCTCTGTAGCACTTAGCTCAACTTTCTGGTAGCCCTAAGAGCTCCAGCCTTCTTCAGAACCACCTTAACCTGATAGCACTACAAACATCTATCCCATCTGCTCCTTAGCTATAACTCGCTGCATTATTTCCTGAACTATTTCTAACTCCAAGATAGCAGCTGTAACATCATCTTTCTACATGTGTCTCTGGATGCAACATGCTGTCATATCACAAATCACATCAGTCAACTAAACCTCAAGGGCTACTGATAAGGAAGTTCTAGCAAGGGGTTTCTTACCTTAAGTTACCAGGTACCTGCTTGTTCAAGTAACAGGATTAACCCCTCCAGCATTCCTAAAGGAAGAATAGGAGTGCCCCAGGAAAAAATGCACCTAGGAAGCAGCACTAAGGACATGTTACTCTACACAGTTTATGGGCACTGCATCAGGATTTCCGAGACCATCTCTCCATAAGCATTAACAGAGTGTGAGTAGATCAGACAGACAAGGATGGAACATATATTAGTTCACTTTTCCGTATATGTGATATACCACAGGTTTAAATACATCTATGACTACAGCCTCAAAAACTTGCCAGATATCTAGTAGCTTAGCACCAGCCTCTGCAGTCAAGCCAAAATGACAGTTCTGCAGTTGAAGTCCTATCTTCTGGCAAAACTGAGAAATATATAAGGATACTCTTACATATACATGCAGAATGACAAAGTTGAGATAATTCTCATTCTTTCATCAAAAGTCAACTTGAACAGCAAGGAAAGCTAACTAGCAATTTAAGTATTTACTGAATTCTAGTCAAACACTCAAATTACACTCATTCAACTATAAAAAATGAGTTCAAATACTGACACTCCAAAAAATTCAAATGTAGACAGTTCAAATACTGAATTCTATCCAACAAGCTCTGTTACTACCCTCACTTCTGCTTTCTCTTGCCAGCTTCATATGACTTTCTTTTCATGGCCTTTTGGAAACACCTTTCCATAAACTGTTTTCGTTGGGCAAGAGGGAAGTCTTGAATTCATTTTCTTCCCTTCTTTCCTCTTCCAAGTCATGCTCTCTCTCCATAACTGCTTCACATAACAGACACTTCACTTTATCCTGTTGCTTTGCCTTCCCACAACCTATTCACACACTTTTTGAACTGCTCAAAGGACCTTGAAATTTGTATTCTGCACATAAAATAGCTACAGAGTAATGCCAATAAAGAACCAATGTAGAACAAGCTTGCCTATGAACAAAACCCACATTGCTGCAGTTAACAGGCTCCCAAAGATGGATATATTCAAGTGATCTAGATGCTTTTTAGTTTTAATTTTAAATATGGTTGAAGCCTATTTCTGTACATGCCCACAACTGACCCAGACTGAACAAACTGGTTCAAGTTTGTCTAATCCATCAGAAATCAGAGGCTACATATTCTTATACTTGGTGTCATCCCTGGGGCCAACGTACTTGACATGCGTCTAGAAACTAAATATTGGGCCCCATACAATATAATTAGCTCTAATGAGAATACCTTAGAAAGATGGTGGTAAAACAGTCACAGCACCCTTATAGACAAAGGGCAAGCTGTCATATGCTCCTAAATGCACTTTCAGTACAGAATATAAAACACAACCCTATTCTGGCAATATAAAACAAGCCTTCCCTGTATTCAAGGCATTTTTCATTAGAAAATGGCTCAAAGCTTAGGTATTCACAATATTGCAAATCCATATAGTTTTCTATAAGAGACATTCACTGGACAAAACTGAAAAGTCTGATAACTTATATAGGCAGCACATAGGGATGGAAGCAGATTCAAATGGAAGCTTCTATTACATATTTGTATCAAAAAAATAAAAGTCCTCTTGAAGATAAGACAGGATGACTTATATCACATTGATGAGCTTGAAGGTCTTTTCCAACCATAATGATTCTATGATTACAAGTGTATCACACAGGTAGTGTCCCTTAGTGATTTCTACCTTAACTTGCTTTTCTTTCTTTTTCCGTACGTCTTCCCATTCATTTACAATCCTTCCCCACAGGATCCATGAGTCTTCTTCAAGATGGCTGAGATTACTAGAAGCCGATGAACTAGACACAAGAGAAGATCCACTATTTCTTCTTGAGCCATTTACTGATCGCAAAGATTTGCTATCAGTCTCCAAAAGTCTGCAAAGCACAGAAAAATAATTCCAGTTTTTCTAATCACAGGATCACATTATTTGTTTAGAAATCAGTTCTCCCAAACTCTTCACAAAAAATACACCCAAAGGTGCAATGAACAATTTTCTTATTTATTTGTACTAAAGTTGAAAAGATGAATTACTCAGGATTTTTATTTATTCTTGAGCTCTCGGAACACTCGCCACGAGCTCTGGGCGCTGCTCCTGCTGCCTCCTACACTGTTGCTCCTTCTTGGGAAGCCAGGAGCAGCACCCGCGCGTCCCGTTAGCTGCCTGCCAGGACTGTCAGTTCTGCAAGGGCCTGGAGAGACCTGGCGCTCTGGGTGAAAAGATCTGGTCATCCTCAACTAACAGGGAGCCCCATAAATCAGTGTCTTTTTAATCAGTTTTAGCTGAGAGCTTGCATTAGGTTTCATGTTCCCACCTATTAGTATTTAAGAAGTTGGAAAATAAAACAAAAGTAATTAGATCCATGAAAATGATTAGAATTTCTACATTTTTTTTCCCAAAACCATGACAAAAACATAAGTTGAACAGCAGTAGCTTTTTGAAATCAAACTTTTTCAAGACAGCAACTTTAATTTAGTTCTTGTTAGGGGAACATAAATAAGTTTGAGGAAAAGAACTCGAAAACTCTTTCAGTGATTAGTAACCTTGCCTATACCAATCCATAATCAGAATTAGCAGGTCAGAATTCCTTCTCCTCAATCCACGCATGTGCCAAGAGACTGAATTCAAAGGAGTCAGGAAAAACAAGCCCAGCTAAAACATTTCAAGACTATAAAACAGTCACTAGTGGCTAGTCACTTTTAGTTTCACAGATTTCTACAGAAGTTATGCTAAATTTGTGTAATTTGACCTTACCTGGATAAACTCATTGTCCTTAGATTTGTTAGTAAGAAGTTCCCATTACAGTGAGTAGTATGCGAGTTCTGTGGTGTTTAGTGACTGCTTTCTTTCTCCTAAAACTTTATAAATGATTTACTACTGCCAAACAACTCTATCAGGACTCTGGACTGAACTACCTCAGTGTACTTAGAGGACTTCCATGTAATTGGATTGCGGAATACCTCAGGACATAGTTTGATAAAATTTGAGTTACTCCAGTTTCCAGTCTGCTCAACTAACCCATATTCTCCCTACTTGTACAAAGGTCAACAATGAAAATGAAGCTTTAAAAATACCCATCCCTGGTAATTCTTCTGGCAAGCAGAAAAATAAATAGCTGCCTGTGTTCAGGGCACGATTCCTTGCCAACAAAGAGTCGCTGTGTTAAAATGCAGATTCAAACTGTTCCAAAACTACCCTGTACAACAACAGCATCAAATCTCTGTCTCATGGCATAATATCACATTTGGTATGAACTATCTGACAGAAAAACCTCTTATTGGAATTCACACACAAAAAAACAGACTTAAATGAAAAGTCTGTTTAAAATCCAGTGGGGAGGAAAGAATGAGATAAGATTCCACAACAAACTTATTTATTAAATGAAGAAAGCCAGATTGGAAAAGAAACAGCAGCAACTCCAGGCTCATACACTTACAGCAAACTAGTCTAACTCCAAGACTTATAATGACAAGTAAAGAAGCAAAGAAATTACAGCCTAAAAAGAGATAAGCAGTCCAAAGAACAGATACTACTGCTTTTAAATAGCAAGTTAGTCACCCTCATTTAATAAAGCTGAAAATTACCTTTAACTGAACTGAAAGTCTCTGGTCAACTGAAAATCTATCTTCCTTAGAGCTTCATTAACATTGCATTTCCTTCTTTAAATGTTTCCTTTCACTGCTAGCACTGGGAAAGTTACAGATAGTACCTTTTCAAAGAGACAATCCCATAAGGATTTTCCTGCAAGGAAAGAGGATGACATGGTCCTAGCACCTGCCATCTTCTCTCAGTCAAAGACGGGCAGATACAACATTCCCTGCAAGTTTCCCTGCTGCTAGGCAGAAGGCACAAGCATGGGGGCACAAATCAGCAGGCAGTGGCTTCAGCCCTCCTCCCACTTGATCTTTTCCTACTTGTAGAAGCTTCCACCCTCACAACTGCATCAACAAAACAAAACGCGAGTACTGCTCACCTGCCTTGGGGCAAAGTCCAACAAGTTATCACAGCAGCTAGAGCAGAAGTGAGTTTGAGCTAAGCTGTCCAACTCAGCACCTCACTGCAGCATGACAGCAGTCTGCAACGGAAGGCATTGCAGCTCTGCAGCTACCTACCAAGTCTAAAGGCTACTTGGAGTTCAAGTTGTCCTTTAAAGTTGATCTCTGATGAGCTACTAAAACATACGGTCAAATAGAACCCAATATTACAAGAAGTCAAATAATTGTTGCCCATCACACCAAATCATTAAACAAGAAATCATGATGGAAAGACTGACAAGGGATTTCCTTATCATGAAATAAAGACATTATGTCCCCTGTCACCACCAGTGTTAACAGTGGGAAGCAGCTACTAATTCCTGCAAGCACAGAGGGCTGAGCACTGTCACCAGGCACTGGACATCAGAAAAGCTGAGAAGCCTCCTTATGTAGCTGTATCTGTACTAAATAGCCTTATTCACAGATTAAATTACAGAATAAAACTGAAGGACTTTGCTTGAGCCCTTAAATTGTACAAGTACCGAAAGACAGCAGCTCTTACCTTTTAAAACCTCCAGTAAGAAAATTTGCCCAACATATCTTAGGAAGCAGCTGATGTGCTAAGACAGTCGTGAAGCAACCGAAACGTAGTAGAAAGCAAGAGGAGTGGGGAAAAAAAAAGTGGAACAGAGAAACTGGAATTCAGAAATTCTCAGCTTTTCAGATAGCTGATGAAAAAGTTATCATTATAAAGCTGATGAAGCTATATCAAATTCTCATTCCTGAGATATTTCATTTCAAATTAAATACTGAAGTTCATATAGCTCCAGTGTAAACTCTTAGTATAAAAAGCAGCTATAAACATTCCTGTAAAGCCAGAAGAGAAAAACACTTTTTAGAGTTTCATAAAATCAGAACTTTTAAAAACGTAACTCAGGAACATAAGTCCAGTGGCCTTGAAAATAGTAAGATAGTGTCCTTCCATGAAGTCTCTATGTTGAAACTGCTACATCCCATTTCTACGATTTCAGGACTGGTGAAGTTTCTATTTACCTGTTCTGTTCTTCAAGCTTAGCCAGTAATTCCAAGTCATCTGGACTCAGCTGTGTCGGTGACGATGGTGATAACGCTGGCGTGGACAGCGTGGTAGAGGAGGATGTAGTGTGTAACGAGGCAGATGGACTTGCCACCTGGCTGGCCATTTGACTGACTCTGTGCGATACCGTGTTCTTCACCCATGAGAGAGTGGAGCTCAGCTTCCCTGCAACCTTGTCTGTCGCCACCTGCAGTAACAGGGAAAGAAGCTGCAGCAGTTCTCGTTTTTAATCTTCTTTGTGCCCTACTCTCACGGATGAGAGACAAGACTTACAGCGTGTATAAGCTAACCTCGCTTACGATTCATGCCTTACAAGGAGGAGGACATGGCAATTATTTTGACCCGAAGTTGTCAGAAGAAACAATGATATCACAGGAGAAACAGTATTCAGCTATGGCACACACAGGTGAGAGAATCGTAAAGAGACAAAGTGAATCCACTCCCAGAATGAACTTCTACAGTGCAGAAATACCACAGATCCAGCATCAGTTCAACCTTCGCATTACAAAAACAAATAGAAATAAAAGGATATTTTAAAAATCTCTTGATAAACTGATAATGGCACAAGCAGTAGAGAAGTAAAGCAGCATTCAGTTACTTTACTGATGAACACTGAGGCAGTGGAAGTGTAGCAACAAAAAAAGCTGCAAACCATCCAGATTTCCCCGGTCACGCAGAAGTGGCAGATTATGGGGTAATACAGCCCAGACAATTCTGCTTTTTGGTTTCCCTTTCCTCACTGTTGCCTGGAGAAGAGGGACAGCAGCTCCAGGAGGTATTTTTGATGAAGCCTTCATGGGGCCTTCCGCCCATCACTGAAAACCCAGGCGGCTTCAACGCCAAACTCTGCAGAGCCCTGTGCTTGCCCTGGCCAAACTTGAAGGAAACCTGGGTGCACGTTGAAAGAGCAGCTAGCTGGCTAGCAAAGGGATAGAAACTTCCAAAAAAAAAAAAAAAAAGAGAGAAGGTTGAAGGGAAGCTTCCTTTGAAGTAGTGTTGCTGACAATATTTATTTTGACACTTGCTCACTTCCTCAAAGCTGTGAGCTGCTCAGTGGCTGTCACCAACACTCCTGCAATGCAGCTTGTACAATAGCTGCTAAGATCCAAAAGACTGAACATCCAAAAAAAAAAAAAAAAAAATCCTTCACAAGCCTCTGATAGAGCCTAATTAAAGCAGAATTTCAACAGCAAAAAGAAGCCCTCTGTCAGGGCACTGACTTTTACAGCTACAGCTGCTCGCGGACAGCTCTTATTTGCTTATTTTTAAGGAAATGAGAAGCATAGCTGCACCCCCACCATCCTTTTAAATGTTAAATGGGAAGTTGGGATAAGGAAACTGTATTAGACTATCTGAAGGAGGTCAACAGCACAAAAAAAAAAAAGCTCCAAAAAACCCCATCTACTTGTGATACAAAATACGTATGAGGGGAGATGAAATATCCTTCGGAAGACACAGATCTATGGGTTGAGAAGACACATCCGTACTTTCTCTCATTACATTGCATACCCCAAAGTTGTGGCATTTGCAATTTAAAGCAGCAAAATGTTTTCTTAGAGCAGGATGCATTTAATAAAATAGAAACCCCTAAATGAAAGTACATTATTTCATCCGCCTTTTCATATTCTCTATAAAGCTTCATTGCGTCTTTGCTTTCTGTTTCATATTCTTCTCTGCCTTCCATCTTTCTTGACCTTCTCATTTAGTGTGTTCCCTCACCTCCTCCTCACAAAAAATTTCCTTAAACACAATTTTTTTCTCCTGGGCCAAAGACATCCTGTTGAAACTGTGCTAGAAATCCCAATCCCACTAAGCAAAGAATGCAAGAATGAAGCCTTTCAGGAACTAAGCATGTTGTCAGCGCCAGAAGCAGCAGATCTCCAGCGCTGGACACAGCTGGGCAGCAAACCCGACTAGAAGGGATGCGCGTGCTCCCGTGTGCCACCTCCGGAGCCAGGAGCGGCCACCCCGCGAGCCCAACTTGGCCCAGTAACTTCCACTGGGACTGCATTGCTCAGTGCTGCGTTTTGCCAAACTGCCAACCCTTGCAAGCAAGAGTTATAAAGATGCCAATTATTCTAAGTTGGTATATTCTGATGCCCAAATGCTATATTTAAAGCTAGTTTTCTAAATGCATTCAAAGAAATCATTAGTAATATCGATTCAAGAATTAATAGCATCAGTTGAAGGCAATTTTTTATTTTTAGCTGTACTTTACTGGCAACTAGACTTGCTACATTTTATTATCGTGCTTTTTTCCTTATGCAAGAGAACTATGCTAAGAGAATATTTCAGTGCAACTGCAGAGCTCATTCTGATTCAAACAAAACTGTTTCAAACGGTTATGGGTTGGGAGAGCCCCAAGCAGCAATTCCGCACGGGAGCAAAGTCTCACTCACTGCCAGCACCTTTGGGGGAGCAGTAGGAGGAAACAGACACCGACTTCCAAGGCGGGCAGCAGCAGGACCAGAGGCGAGGGCAACCCCCATGGACGTGGGACAGGCCCCACGAGATATTGGGGGGCTCGCAAGGAGCGCTGCAGCACAGCAGCAGGTTGCCCAGAGAGCTTGGGGAATCCCTGTGGCTGAGGATGTTGAAGACTAGACTGGATGGGAGCCCTGCAGCCTGACCCAGCTTTGAAGCTAGCTCTGCTCTGAGACACCGGATAACCCCCCAAAGCTCCCTTCCAGCCCAAGTCTTGTGTGAGCCTGCGATGCAGCCTGGCTTGTCATTCTAAGAAGGCTCAAACCTGACAGGGTAGAAAGCCAGCGGGACACGCTGTTCAGGATGCTGCCTCTAATATCCAAACATGCTTGTTGTATAGACATAACCTCTGGTCAAGGAGCAGGCTGGAGCACAGCGCGCTGCCCAACGGCCCTCTTCTTCCCTGCACCTAACAAATGGGATTCTTGATGCTCTGGGGGGTCACAACACAAAGACAAAATGCACAGGTCTCCAGCAGAACACACAAGGCTGAGCAAGGCCCCTCCAACCAGAGAAAGGATCACAAACTTTGTGAAAAATTTATATCTTTTGTTACTTTCTGTATGCCTTTTACTCAGTGTTGTAATGCTATTCAAAATGCACACAGAGGCTACATGCCCAGCAGTGCTGTTTTATGTGGTTAAGCAAAATTTGGTAGGGTCAGGCATAATCTAAAAGCCTAAAAACACTCATTGCAACTGGTTGCAGTTTTCAACATAATTAGAATTTTATTTCTACCTTTACTTTCACAAGGATATTACTGTACTTACTTGCTAAAAAGATGTATTTACATGTTAAGAAATTATTGATAAAATTACCCTTTAACAACAATTTTGAGAAGCACATTTAACACTGCTGTTTAGATATCACCTTTTGCACAAAAAGGGTTAGAGGTTTCAAAAGCTTAAATTTAATGTATGCAGTATTTCGTTCAGTCAACATTCTTTCTCTGTTGCCACGAAGGGATAAATTATTGCTGCTTCATTCTGACTAAAATAGCATTATGATAAAGACAACTCATGCATCTCACTTGATGAGCAGACTGATTATTTTCTCAAAGGCTTTAAACTGCTTAAACTATGACAAGTAATGCAATTATTCCAAAAATAGATGTGACAGAACCAGGGCTGATACTAAAAACACAACAAATATGATTGCCATACACAGTAGGTTATAAGAGTAATCCACTGTGTTTTAAGAAATCCTGCGTATAAATATTA